CCTGATGAAATAAAAAGATTTTAAGAGCGCGGTGGAAGGTGCGTAGATCCGGGATCCTCCATCTCTCCGGGGGGAGCTCGTTCCAGATAGTAGGTGCCCCCACAGAGAAGGCTCTCCCCCTGGGGGCCGCCAGCCGACATTGTTTGGCCGACAGCACCCGGAGGAATCCCTCTCTGTGAGAGCGTACGGCCGGTGGGAGGCTGTTTGCGGCAGCAGGCAGTCCCATCAACTTTGCTGCGAGACATATTGCTTGATATAGACCAGGCACTCCGTGGACTGAGTGACCAAAGCGCGCAAGCATGCGCATGAATGCACATGTGTGCACTCGAACTCCCAAAATGCAATGTGCGTGCACCCCCACACTCGCCCCCCGTGCATGCACATGCGGCCCCACACACATTCCCCCCATGCATGTGCATGCGACCCCCCCACATGATCATGTGACCCCCCCGCACACACCACACCTCCCACGCATGTGTGGCAGAGACCCTAAAACCAGTTGGCCAGCGGGAGCTGCGCGCACATGTGCAGCAGAGCTGAACTGGGGTGACAACTCACATGCCATCAGAGAGGGTGCTGTGTGCCACCTATGGCACGTTCACCATCATGGATATAGACGATGGAATTAAATGAATGAGTTTCAAAAGGTCAATATAGCTTTTTTTTTTTTTATTAGATCCATTTTGCCAAATATAAGAGTTAGCCTTGAGCCTTTTGCTAAGATATTTTGTATTGTTTTTTGGCCCACTATAGAGGTTTATTTTCTTGAAACTATATACTATAATGCCGACCTTCCCTGTTGGAAATCTTCCCAGGTGGACATTGAAGACAATTGTAGCAGCAAAATGGTTTTCCTTCTATCTTGTTCCTTGTATAACCTGAATGGCATTTATTATTGCAAAGAGATAGAGGATGGACCTGTTTAAAAATGAGAAAATAAATTGCCTTTTCTTTATGAAAAACAGTATTTAGTAGTTACATCATATTTAGAAAAATCATTTTAGTTTGCACATTTATTATCATGTGTGGTCTGACTTCTGTTTCTGTTTAATAGCAAGATAGAAAAATGCCTTCAAATGGAAAAAGAACTCAGACATACCAACATTAAGCATTCAATAAGGAATATAATTTATGCAGGTGCTTACAAACTGGAGAGATGTTTATTCTGGGTTTTTTTGTTTCACCTATGGAATCCAAATTGCTGCAAGAAAACTTCCTTTGTTACCCACTGAAAATTTCTACAGCATCCATTTTTTAATATTTGATTTGATCTTTCATTTGTCCAATTTATTTTATTTGGTGAGTTGGCAAAAATGTTTCATCTATTTCTGAGACAATTTGCCAAAAAAATCCATCCAAATCTGTTTTATAAATGTCAGTATCCTTCCGTTCAGAAATATATCTTACCATACACCCAAGGAGTCACCCATTGGAGTTGTTATTCAGACGGCTGGAAAACCTTTAGGAATTTTAGATATACGAAGTGCTCTGTATCTGAAAATAATTAATGAATTGGAGTTTTGATCTAAGAGAGCATATAGAAGCAGAGGTGGGCTGCTGCTGGTTTGGACCGGTTAGCCCAAACTGGTTGTTCTGATTCTGCATGGTTCAGAGAACTGGCAAATCGGACCATTGGCTGGCCCCACTCCTACCCATTTTTCGGGCTGTTTTTGGTCATTTTCAGGCCATTTTTGGGGCCATTTTCAGGCCATTTTTCCAGCCAAGATAGGCCCAAAAAACAGCCTGAAAATGGCCTGGTTTGGGGGCATTTTTCAGGCCGTTTTCAGGCTGGTTTTTTGGCCAAAAGCAGCCCAAGAAATGATCTGAAAATGTCCCAAAAAACATACTGAAAAATGCCCCCAAAACAGGCTGTTTTTCAGGCCATTTTTTGGCTGTTTTCAGGCTGGTTTTTAGGCCACTTTCAGGCCATTTTTCCAGCCAAAAGCAGCCCAAAAAACCAAGCAGAAATGGCCCAAAAAAAGGCCTGAAATAGGCCCCAAACAAGGCCTGAAAATGGCCTGAAAATGCGCCAAAAATGGCTGGAAAATGGCCCCAAAAAGCTGGCTGTGAGAGGAAGAGAAGCTGGGTGAGCTGGACCCAGACATGTCCCGGGCCCCGTCGTCCCAGAAGCAGCAACTCGCACTCTTCCCCTCTCTGCTAGCCCATGCTTCTTCGCATGGGATCGCCCAGCAATGGAGATGGAGATGGAGAAGGGGCCAGCATTTCTGTGTGCTCCCATTTCTGTGTGACACTCTCCCCTCAATGCTAGCAGCCCTGCTGGATAGAAGGGTGAAATTATGTCTGTCCAAAAGCCGGAGATTAACTGGAACAAACCTGATTAAATCTCCTTGGCCATGTAATAGCATCCTCATCAATGGTGAACATTACATCTTGGGAATCAATGGGGACTATCCTTCCAACTCTGACTTTTAAAAAAGAGAGGTTAGGAAATGTGATCCAATTGATAATATTAAATCCAGTCTCTAATTCTCCCATTTGGTTGAAAGAAATTCTTTGCCCAGCAGTATTATTGAATGAGATGATTCGCATAAAGCGGTTGAGCTAAATTTGGGAGAAAAAGTGAAGTGAAGAGAGATGTATCAGTTTTTCCCTAATGTTTTCAGCATTACTTGATTACCAAGAGGCAATTCAGAATCACAAATATATGTGTGTGTGTGTGTGTGTGTGTGTGTGTGTCTTTAGCCAGGTTCTACCTACGTAAACTAAGATATTATGCAGCCCTACGTAGGTAGAACCTGGCTAAAGAGACATACACATAAAACCTATGAAAAATAAATTCTCAAATAAGGAAAGTTTTGTAGACTCATAGAAGAATCTATAGGAAACTATTTGTTGACTTTCCTTTTATTTCTCATGTTGGAAGAAATGTCCATTTGGGTTCAGTTCCAAGTGGGGAGAAAGACACTGGGAACATGGAGGCTGTTTGGAAAGATGGTTTAATGGTGGACAGGACCACATAGGTTTTTTGGGTCCAGGGCAAATGAGCATATGGAAGAGAGAGGGGGGGATGGAGATATTTATACCCTCTCTTGGACCCTGCCTTGGAGCTTCCTGTTCCTGTGTAAGAGCAGGTATCCCATTGATTACTGTAGGGGTCATGTGCAAATCCTAGGAGTTTGTCTGAGATTGAAGTGTGGGCCTAGATGATTTCGCAATGCAGTGAGCCCTGCTGTTAGATGGGTAGAGGGGTAATCCTATCATGTCCTGAGGGGCATGTCTTAATCCCATCACCCTGGAGTTGAAGGGGATGGCAGGGAGCTGCAGGGGGGAGGCAGGGAGCTGCAGGGAGCTGTTTTGTCTTTAAAACATGTTTCTCCTTTTCTCATCCAGGGAAATATAATATTCTGCCTTTTTAATATTTCCTAGAATATTTCATTTCTTCTAAGAGGGGTGGGTATTAATTTTCTTCACTCACATATCCAAATAACCTTTTTGCTTATTATTTTTGACTTCCATTACAAGCCACAGCAAATTTTGAATGTTAGCCTTCCTCCCTCTATTCTTGTAAATATGGGCTACTTCCTGATAATCTGCTTTTATGGTATATTCATCTTTCCTTATTTTAAATGTGTCCCTTTTGTTTCCCAGTTTCTCAGAAAGCTCTGTACACTACTATGTTTCCTCACCAACTGTCCTTCGTTTGGCTTTCTCTTTTGTCTTGCTTCTGTTTGGGCTTTAATAATTTCATTTTTAAAAAACTTCCAAGCCTTCTGAATTCCATCCATGGAATCCTTTCTACTTCTTCCCTTAGCATGTTGAAGGTAATTTCTTGAAGCCTAGAACACTTATCTTCAGTTCTTTCCTCCTACAATATGGTTAATTCTAGGATGATATGGTCCTGTTGACCCCAGGTTTTTATAACTTCCATTTCCTAACCATTTCTTGATTTTTAGCAAGTATTAAGCCCATTATAGCTCAATACATAATCATATAATTCCATCCTCCATCTTTTGAATAAGGAAATAAGATCAAAAACTTTATTTCATGTTTAGCCTCCATGCATATTCACATCAAACACAAATTGCAGAAATGACATGAATCTCCAAGGGCTACCTTTCTTGCACCTGAAAGACATACTGGAATCCAGAAAACAGACTTAAAATTGACTGAGTGGATTATACATGACTCCCTGAAATCCAAGCCTTGCATTCTTTTACAATAGCAGAAAACAGATTGAGTGGATAAGTGATAAATTGGTTTTCCCTAAGAAGATTGAAAGAAATTGGGAAATAGATTTATATATTATATATTATATTTAAACTGTAAAACAATTTTATCTGGATTTTTTTAGGAGGATTGGTCAAGTTTAGAGAATGGATTTATTATATTTAACCAGACAACACTTGATAAGAGATGGTATTAAGAAACAAATGTAGATATTTGCTCCATGACAAATTAGTATTAACTAGTGGGATGATTTGGAATAGATATGAAGCAGTGATAAATTTTCTACAAGTTGTTACCAGAAGGTTTTGAAATGTTACCCTTGCCTTCTTTTGTTGCTCTACCCGTTAATTTTGTCATTAATATACTAGATAGGTGACAAGTTAATAATTTGCAAAGAGAATTAGAAGTTTAAAATCACAAGGGATGAGAAACTAATATTGTTGCAATATATGTATTAGCATTCAACTAGGGGGATTATATGTCTATATGTGTTTGTGTTTCTTTTTTTTTCAAAGCACCTGTTTCGTTTAATGTCTTATCTGGGTTTTGTTTTTTTTTTTTTTTTTTTTTGCTTTATTTGTTTTTGGCAGTTTTGTGTTTTAACTTTTTTAAATAAAATAAAGACTACACTTACCAAAAAAAAAAAACAACAAAAAACAACCCAAGTTATCTGGAAAACAATATTTATGAAAATTACCTCATAGTTATTCATTTAGAACAGGGCTGTCAAACTCTCGACCCATGGGCTGGATGAGTCATGTGCTGGCCACACCCACACCCAGTTTAGCAAAGGGGGAAAAAGTCCTGATACGTCACGTGACACCACTGTGACGACGTTTGTTTGACACCCAATTTAGAATAATGAATGTATTTTCAATTGAATCTAATTTGCAGATACATTGAGCAATCAGAAGTTGGTTTTTAACTACCTTCCAAAGCTGTTGATTAAGAAGTTCCAATTTGCCTTCTCCTGCTTTGTATTTCATGATCGATGAATGGAAGTCATGCAAAGCATGTGCCGCCACATGGACTGCATTGTAGACACTATAGCTGTGACTAGTCATGTCCATTTCAAACACAGATGTAGGAAGAGTCTCCAGTTTTTCCTCTCCAGTACAAGTGACCTCATCTTCCTCCTCCATTAGAGAGGCGGGGAAGGAACATTCAAATGCATTTTTCCAGAAGATCTTGATAAAAGTGTCTTCTTTTTCTAAAATAGGTTTTCTCATCTGAACAAATCTCTGGAATCCAAGCACCTTCTCAGAGTGAATTGCAAAGGATAAAGCACCATGGAGGAAGCCTAGATCACTATTTCTTAAAAAGGGAAGTGATGTGAAATCCATCTCAGCTGTCATAATCCAGACTTTATCTTTATTCTGTAGCAATACATCATCTGACTGCAAGTTGCTGGAAAGTCTCAAAACTATAATTTCCTCGATTTCACCATAAACTACTACTACATTAACAATGCTACTCATAGCCACCTTGTACATTTCAAGTCCCATTTTGACCAACTCAGCAATGCTATTTGAGTAACTAACTATTGGGAATCTTTCAATGAAAGCAAAACAGATACCTCTCTGGGCGAACATGGGAATTATATTTTGTACAAATTTCTCACCGTTGTCATTACTCACAGACAAGACCCCAATCCATGTCCATCTGAAATGCATCAATAACTGAAAAATGCCTGTGTACTGATGGTACATATTTGGGAATAACTGTTGATATAAAACCACCTGGTTTTTTGTATTGCTTTCTGGAGCTGAACCATATATTAGCTAAGTAAAAATAAAAAAAAATAAAAACAGGTCACTAAATAACACCCAAAAAATGTTATTTTCAGGAAAAAAAGTTGGTTTGTAGTTATATTATTTCTCCATTTTAGCCCTCCTAATAAACATTAGGCATCAAATCGCCACGGCCCGCTATGGGGGCACGGCCCAGGAGCTTTTCATTGCGCACGGCCCAGGAGCTTTTGCGCACGGCCCAGGAGCCTTTGCGCTGCAGCGTTCACTTGCCAGGTATTTTCTGATATACAGGATATGCTAACAGAAAGTTCAGTATATTCCCAACATACGATGAAGATACAGACTAAGAAAAATTGCCCCAACATCTCTCCTTCAATTGTACATGAAAATTAGTACAACATCATTCTCAAAGCTGAACTGCATTAGAAGGATTTTTTAAATTATTCTTCTGCCTTTATTATTTTTATAAATAACTCAAAACAGCAAGCATACATAGAGCCAGCATGGTCCACTGTAGTGGTTAAGACACCAAGCTAGAAACCAGGAGACTGTGAGTCCTGCCTTACGCTATTTAGAAAATAGCTGGGTGACCTTTGGTCAGTCACTCTTTTTCAGTCCAACTCATCTCACAGGGTAATTGTTGTGGGGAAAATAGAAGGAGGACTAGTGGTGGATTTCTACTGGTTCACCCTGGTTCAGCAAACCAATAGCAGAGGTGTTGGGATGCTCCACCCACCCGCCCGGACGTCATCAAAGATGCTCTGCGCATGTGCAGAAGGTTCTGTGTGTTAAATTGGGTGAGTGAGGAGACAGCTCTGTACCGGCAGACTGTACTGGCGTCAGCTCCGACAGTGATTTGGCCATGTCGAATACTTCGGGGCTACAGTGACTTAGGAAGAGGGCACGCTTCCGATTGTTGGACAGCCCTTGAATATTGTTAGCTTCGAGGAAGCATTCGAACCGCGTCATGTACAATCCCCACTTCTCTTTTGCGGGATCAAATGGTGATGGCAGTGCAAAGGTGGACATTGTGGTTGTCATGCTCATGCTCGGGCAGACTTTCCACCTGGCTGGATTTGTTGGTTGTCAGCTCTTTTTGTGCTACCTATCTACCTCAATCCCACCTTCATCGCCAATGTTAAGTTGGGCGAGTGAGGAGCCAGGAACCAGGTCTATGTGAACAACAGTTCTTTATTCCACAGTGACAATCCAGCAAAGAACACAGTTTTTTGTTGTTGTTTTTTAATTTGATTTATATGCCGCCCTTCTCTGGAAACTCAGGGCGGCTTACAATGCGCTAAGCAATAGCCTTAGGAGTTGACAGCTCTCCTTATATAGTCTCTTGGCCAGGGTGCTGGCCAATAAACATCGAGCTTTTTCCCGCTTAATTTTCCCTCCAAAAGTAGATACATAATACTGTGCATGCACAAAAGCACCATGCATGAGCAAAGCGGGTGCACATGCACATTCACAGTTCCGAACCAGTAGTGAAGGTAAGTGAAACCCACTACAGAGGAGGACGGTATGTCAGATATGTTCACCACCTTGAGTTATTTGTAAAAATAATGAAGGCATGATACAAACAAATAAACAAATAAAATATTGCAACAAGGCAACAATTTATGTTATGCTACATTAGATACAACTGATGCAAATTTCCATTAAGATCTGATTTCTCTGGGTGAAAAAAACCAGAATAATTTAAGCCCAAATGCAGGGCACGAATACTCACATGCAAAGAAGAAAATATGAGATAGATTTTTACCTACCTTGGCCTATGCTCCATAGAATCATACCTGTAGCATCAAACATCATACCTGTGGCATCTTGTACAGGGACAGGATAGTAGCCATGTGTAAACACACTTCTGAAGCAGGTCCTCCAATGACTGCCATTGGTCTGTTCCACATATCACAGTTGTAGTTGGGAATAAATTGGCCCTTTGTAGAGAAGAGCTCCAATGAAGCACGATAGGTCCAACTTGGACTGAAGTAGTTATTGTAGACATGCAAACCAAGTGTAAGATTCAGTAAAATATCATCATTTCTATTGATCTCTTTGATGGCAAATTCTAAGGCCAAGATATGCTGGTAGAGTGAAGTCATGACCCTGGAATGGGAATGATATATTCTATTATTGTGTATTTAGTTAAAACAAAATCTAATAATGTGCTTCCTTTCAGGTCTATATGCTAATCTATCATTATAATCTTTTTATTTTAAGTAACCTGTCAGAAAGACAGATTTTATATTCTTTGAACAGCTTTCAGTGTCAAGAATATTTTTTCCTTAACATTCTTCCAATGCATATTCCTTCATGTAATATTTTTTTCTCTTGTGAGAAAACCTTAAATCATTAGAGTTAATAAAGAAATTGATGTTCTTTTCTAAAAGGATATTACTGCAACTTTAATTTAACTTCAATTCCCTTAAAATTTCTGTCTGTATCTGCATCAGTTAAAATTAGTATGTATAGAAATGGGTAGCAAAGATTTTGATAAGATTTGGATGAGTACAGATAATAAACTATTAGCTAAATTGTACAACTATTTAGTAGAATATAACCTGATGGAAGAAGTGGTTAAAGACCTAATGCTAGCATGGGCCAAAAATATTGGGAAAAATATAAATCTGGAAGAATGGGATCAAATATGGAACAACAATATAAAACTTACCAAGGCAACCACTTACAAGGAGAACCAGTATAAGATGATTTATAGGTGGCACCTAGCACCAGCTAGGATTGCCAAGATTTACCCCAACTCAAACCCAAAGTGCTGGAAATGTGGACACCAGCAAGGTACTTTTTACTACTGCTGGTGGACCTGCTCTCAAGCAAAAAAATATTGGAAGGTGATTTGCAATTGGCTTTCAGAAATAATAGGTGAAACCTTTGAATTAGACCCTAAAATACTTCTCCTGGGAATTCTTAAGGCGGAAATGGCAAAAAAGAAGAAATACTTGGCAGTGCATATAATAACAGCAGCAAGAATCGCTTTCGCTCAACAATGGAAAGAGAAAAAAATTTCAACTAAGGAACAAGTAATTGGCAAAATAATGGAATGTGCCGAAATGAATAAATTAACATTAGAAATTAATGACAGAGAAGATTCTGATTATTATAGCGTATGGGACAAGTGGTACGGGGTGGTTAGAGAAGAGGAAATTGAAATAAAAAGGAAAGAGACCAGAGCAAGTACAAGAAATAGTAAAATGAAATAGAAAGAGAAGATGTACTGTGGATGGTAGGAAATATAATAAGGCAAGGAAAGGTTACATGGGTAAGCAAAAGACATGACTTATGTATTTACTAATTTATAGTTAAAGACTATTATATATATATATACACTAAGAATGATATGAGAACACAATTCTTTATACCATGTAACTGGTTTGCAAAGATTATCTATATATGTACAATATGTAAATTGTATTTATTTCTTTTTCCATATTATGTAACCGGATGGACAAAAATTGTATTATTATAATTTCTTAATAATAAAACATTAAAAAAAATAAAAATAAAAAAAATAAAAATAAAATTAGTATGTATTAGGTAGGTTTCATTTACTCTGACTTATCATCATAGTAAAAACATACCGGTACTTTGAATGTATTGACTAATAAAGGATCAATTATCATTTTTGAAATAAAAATTCAAAGGTCTGCTTAATTTCCTCTATGAGTTAACCAGATATATATATTTTTTAAATATGGTATTGCTAGATGTTGCTCTTATATATATCTTTTCTCTCTATCTTTCTCTGTCATCTATCTATATCTATCTATCTATCTATCTATCTATCTATCTATCTATCTATCATCTATCATCTATCTATTTCTATCTATCCATCTATCTATCTATCATCATCATCTATGAAACTTGAGAAATATATGCATTTCAGATGGAAACACAAATCACTGAGGTAATTCTAAGACTTTCTTAAGAGTGTGCTTAACATAATGAGCAGTTTGCTGAAATACCGAGTTTGTAAAACCCAACTGCCATAAGCAATAGCTGATACTGAAGAAGTCATTCATTCCCAGGGAAAACTGCTGTTACACAGGCAAGAGATTGGCTTTATGCACTTTTAGATAAGTAATGAACATTTAGATCAATAATGAATATGACCCTTTTTTAGCTATGCATAGAGGAGACTATGGATATTCCTAGTTCAATCATTCCTTTAAAATTATTCTAGGCTATATAATCACATCACTCAGAAAAGTTTGTCACCTTCCCTATTTTCTATTTTAATTTAGTTTTCCTACTGCAAATCCGTTTCTGTAGAATTCTTGATTATTGTCACATAATTAGGAGAAAAGTGGGCAGTGGACATTTCAAATATTTCTTCTCAGAACAACAAAATGATGTCTTAGCATAGCTGAGAGGTTGAGGATGAGGAAGATAGAACAAGAGGAGAAGTGGATGATGTGAGACAATGTGGGTGATGTCATCAACCAGATATTGGAGCTGAGATTAATGTGAATCTAAAAACAAGCTTGACATTTCAAAATAATCTGTTTTCTGTCTGTGACTTTAAAAATCTTACACAATGTCTTCAAAGAGTTCTTTGGAGGGACATTTTTGGAAGTTTATCATCGTATAGAAGATGTAGATCTGAGACAGAAAATCCACAATAATGAGGTCTCCTGACTGATATTGCTTGTGAAGGAAAGGTAGAGGGTCACTGATGCTACATTTAGCTTTGGGAATATTGTACACCACTTGAGGTAAAAGCATTAAAACCAAGGTTCTAAATATCACCATCTTGAATGGAAATGTTCTTACTGTGAGCTAATATTATCTTTCATTAAATATATTTCTGCTTGTTCTTATGGCTATGACAAGCTCCCAGAACAAAGAGGTGAAGTTCAAATAACTATGTGTGAATGGATAATTAGACTGGAATAGATATCAGTTCAGAATCCAAATCCCAGGAGACCTTCTACTGTTTTTCCTCATCTGAGTAGACATGCCCACTGGTTTTCCTCAGTGACTTTGCAAAAGAGAAACAATTATGAGTAGCAAGAAAACAATCCTAATGTCAAATGAGAACTTCAGAATACTTTCCCATAGTTTGTTGGACAACTGACCCCAAAATTTCTGTTGCTAAGTGAAACATTTGTTACGTGAATTTTGCCCCATTTTACAACTTTTCTTGTCACAGTTGTTAAGTGAATCACTGTAGTAATTTAGTAACATGGTTGTTAAGTGACTCTGGTTCACCCATTGACATTGCTTGTCAGAAGATCACAAAAGGTGATCACATGACCCTGGGACACTGCAACCGCCATAAATATGAGTCAGTTGCTAAGCATCTGAATTTTGATCATGTGACCAAGAGGATGCTGTAATGGTTGTAAGAGTGAAAAATGATCATAAGTTTTTCAGTGCAGTTGTAACATTGAATGATCACTAAATGAATCAAGTCAAGGACATCAAAATATATAACTCCTATGTTAAAATTGTATTAACATTTCAAACAAAAAAATAATGGAAAAATAGTTAAGCAAAATCTATTGAATTTAGCTATGGTTAATTGAACACAAATGAAACATTATATCAGAATTACAATAATTATTTTATCTACAAGCAGACCAGGGGTGAAATGCTCCCGGATTGGACCAGATCGCCCAATCTGGTAGCGATTTTTCCTGTGGTTCGGTGATCTGGTAGCGATTGCAGCCTGGGTGTCATTACTTCCTGGTTTTAACCAGGAAGTAATTTTTTTTTTTACTTTCTGTGCATGTGCAGAATTTTTTCCGCATGCAGAGAAGGTGTGTGCATGCACACATGCGAGTGAAGCGAGTGCATGCATGTGCACGGTGCGTGCGCTTCTGAAGCAGTAAGGAAGGTAAGTAGATTTCACCCCTGAAGCAGACAATTAAATATTGAAGAAATTGAAAGGGCTTACATAGTTCTAATAACTTTAAATGTTACAATTATCTCATACATAATATTCTTTAAAAAAAAAACCAATTATAATTTCAAGATGACTTTGCTAAAAGTAAAGGTCCAAGAAGAGAGAGCAAGTAATGGACTATAATTGCAAATTCCCATTAGCAAAGAAACAAACAGGAAAATAAGGTAAGGTTAAACCCAAAGGTGCTTTTCAAGAGGCAACTGGATGTTCTGGTTTTTCTTTGAAAACTTTTCGCTTCTCATCCAAGAGCTGAAGAAGCTTCTTGGATGAGAAGCAAAACATCTTTGAAGAAAAATCAGAAAGTCCAGTTGCCTCTTGAAAAAGCACCGCTTGATGTCACGGCAATATCAGACACAGGGAACGGGTCTCCGTGTTCCCTGTGCTGACCTGCCCTTGTTGGTGGGCTCCGAGAAGAGCCAAAACTTCCTTGTAGGGGTGGTGAAGCAAAGAGGGGCACCGTGTGAGGTCAAGGAGAGTCACAGCTTTCCTGTCTGACCCAGGGTTCTTTTTCTCTCTCAGCCACGGCAAGGAGAAGAGACAGTCTAACCCTAACTTTTGCGACAATCATAACTTGGATGATTGAGAATCTCCATAGACAAAGTAAGGTTAAAAAAATATAACCTGGCTTCATTGAAAGCATCAGAAATCATCTGTCTACTTGGAAGGGCTTATGTTGTTTTACAAGAGATGACATCTTTTGAAAGATGAGAGAAGGTACATTTGCAAAGAGTTAGAAGCCGTTAGAGAGTCACATTGTCTATTCCTAAACCTGATGCAGCAGTTGGCTTGTACTGGTAACAGGTCAATTAGAAATTGCTAATCTGCTCTCAGACCAGTTCAAGGTGTAGATGTTGGTGTGTTGCCTCCTTATGGATCAGCTAATCAGTTGAAAACAGGTGATTCTCCCAAGCTATGAAATCTGACCAAGGCAGGTTGCTTTATGGTCCCAAAGCACTTGCACAATCTGAAAAAGGCAGCATACTGAAGGGCTGTCTGCTTACTTTGGCCATGTCATGCAGGAGAATTCAATTTTAGAGAAAGCAAATTTGTTTGGAAGAGTTAGCAGTAAAAGAAAACCAGGCTACCAAAGGACATAGTGACTGTGCACCATCAAAGCTGAATCAGCCAGAGCATAGAAAAACTTGAACAAATAATCCAAGATCAGAAGTTGTGAACAGACCTGGCCTGTAGAAACAACTGAATGACACAAGACACAACCAAGACACAACTGAATGGATAATCTTATCAGCATCACTGAAGGGGTTTAACTCAGTGTCTGTAAGTCCCAGCAACTTCCTTGGTGTGATGCTGTAAGACCAACTTCTTAAAGAACCCCATCAGGTTATTCTTAATGGGAAATCACACTGAATAGTCCCCAATGGGAGGAGGCAGATGTGAACAGCCTGGTGTCAGGGGTTCTGACAGAACTCAAGAGCAGGCCTGGAATGCTTTACGAGTTGACACCTGGCTTCAAGTGGGTTTCTCCTAGGGATGAGAAAAGCAACTGAGAGGTGTGGGGTTTTTTTGTTTTCTTCTTTTAAGGAAGGGAAGTGGCTCCTGAAATCAGTGTTTGGTCACTGTTTGAAATCAGGAATTGATCATTGTATTTGAATTTTGTGAAATCAATAAGTCAAACTATTAAAAAAATAAATCATGTAAACCCAGTTTCAAGGAACAATACCATGGGATCAATTATGGAGGTAGTACAAATGATATCACTTTGACAGGATTTTTTTTTAAAAAAATCATCCATCCATCCATCCATCCATCCATCCATCCATCCATTTGTAGCATTTATTTTCTATGGACTTCACAGGGACTCCCCTTCATTCACTCCTCCTATATTGTTATAAATACAATATTGCAAATAACTTGTATTTTCATATCTGCATTTATTTATCTTTTTCATCCTTGCTGCTTTGAGGCTTGCTGTCAAATCCCATTATTCCTTGGTGTCAGGTAGAGATTTTGTTTTCAGACATGGCAAACAAATTGTTACTTCTTGTTCAAGGTCCCTCAGGGCCTGGGAGTTGGTGGTTATCTCGAAAGTAATAACCAGTATACAGTAAGCATGAAGACATGGAAAAACCTATAATCAGAAGACAGGAAGAAACCTCAAATAGGTCAAAATCTGTTAATTCCTGCCCCTTGAACATCCCTACATGCAATTTCAGTTAGCTACTGCTTGATCACACATGGTTTTTATCTCAAAGTCTGAGCTTTCCAATTTCTCCATACCCACACAAACAAAATATTAAAAAAAGTACAGAAACAGGCAGCAACTATTTCTTTTGTACATAAGTTAAAAATCTAGAAGGACAAGACGACCTGGAGAAAGGTAACATGCATTGAAGAATGAATTGTTTACTTCTATGTATTAGGTCCATAACATTGCTATTAATGCTTTGTCCACAAGTACTGTGTCACCTTTCTCATAGTAAATGCAGCACTGCAGATCCTCTGCCTCTTCTCCACAAGCAATACCAGTCAGGGGACATCCACTTTGCTAGCATCATTTCTCAGATCTTCCTGTTTTATACAATGATGGACTTTAAGGCACCTCCTTCTAGCAACCTCTTTGAGGAAAGTATGTAAGTATTGAGTTATGGTCAGAGAGATATATGTCAAATAGACCTGAAGATGAATGAGTGAAATGAGTGACTGAAAGTGCATAATTTGAATGTTGTTATGCATGTAATATACTTACAGTACATATATGCTGATGTCTTGCATCAAATTCATGTAAGTATTCAGCTATGGTGAGAGAGAGAGAGAGAGAGAGAGAGAGAGAGAGAGAGAGAGAGAGAGAGAGAGAGAGAGAGAGAGAGAGAGATGTCAAATAGACTTGAAGGTGAGTAAGTGAAAGGTCATTGTATGAATTGTATTATGCATATGATATAGTTACGTGTGTGCTGATAGTTTGCATCAAATTCACCATGTAGTCTTGAGTCATCTGTAGAGTATGAAATAATTGCTGGCTATATGTTTTATATCTGTATATTTACCGTATCCCTGCATATGCATAATCATTTTATGTACTTTGCATATTTGGTGCCTTTATTTGCTTGATTGACGTTGGATCATCAAATTCCAAGCAAAGAATGTTAGAGAATGGATGTTTATTTCTGTCCAGTTAAGTTTTTGTCATTGTCCCCATCCCCTAAATTTGGTTTGGTTTATGGTTTATGGAACCCATGTTCTTTTCTTTGGAGATAATGTACAATATACTTTCTTTAATTATATTTTTCAATATTCATATTTATTCAAATGGTACTGCTTCTTTCACAATGACAAAGCTCCATGGGGGGAGTTGAGAGCCAAGGTTCCTTCCCTAGTAACTTCATTTGATGAGCATCCTAACCTAATCTAACATGTAGCACTGTCCTAGTCTTGCCACGTATTTCCAGAGAAAAGATGGAACTGAAGAAAAAGGTGGAAAAAGAACTCCATTATAGATCCCATCAGCAACTCTCATAAAAAATGTCCAAGAGATTGATGTTCACTGTTGCTTCCTGGGTCAATAGTGAAGGCATCACTGACATGCTAATAATACTCTCCTAGAATAAAAATATTGAGATATCTGGCCAAAGAGGAAGTAACTTGGTAAATCTGATGGCCACTATATATTTCAAATAAAGTGCTTTGATTATTTTATTATCTTAAATAAGTACAATGAATGAAACTTATTGCTTCTTACATATATAGACTGGATCAACTCCTTATATTACAGTATATTTGAAAAGAAAGGCAAAATAGATATCAGACTATGCAAGAAATAAGTTACAGCAAATCATGTTCCTCTCCCTTCAGAGTCATAACACAGATTTACCAACATATCCTGGCTTTAGTATTTGCTGTTAAGGAGATCAATACTAATCCCCATATTTTACCCAATGTTACCCTGGGCTTTCAAATCTATAACAGCCATTTTAATCCAAAATGGATGTACCATGCCACAATGGAACTCCTTTCCTCTAAAGGCAGATTAATTCCTAATTACAACTGTGACATTCAGAAATATCCAGTAGCAATAATTGGAGGACCTGACAGTGATGTATGTCTTCATGTGGCCATCATTCTACACATCTACAAATTTCCTCAGGTAACCATGTATGTGTAGTATGGATGCAATCCAGTTAAATTTCTCATTTTATTTAAATAAGACTTGATCGCTGGCATAAAGTAAACACTGACTGAAATCAAGAGGAACACTTTTCTTTCAAATTTATTTTCAGATCTAAGAAACACTCTTGTTAATAGTTTGATGTTCCATGTGAGGATGGCAAACCTCATCCATGTTAAGTGGATGAGAAAGTTCCTGGTACACCAAATGTTATTGACGAAATTCACAAACTAATTTAATAAATAAATTTCTATCCAGAGCTTAGACAATACAATGCACTAAATGTGAAGGTTTATACAGGAAAGGAAGCCCCAAAGAAATCAAAGCAAAATTGTGGCAATATATATATGATAAATTGGGTCTTAGTCTTAAAAGATTATGGATTATGCTTGAAAGTGTTGGAAGAGTCAAATGCCAAATCTAAGCATGTTAATATGTAATGGAACTAAACTTTTGCTTTGTGTACTATAATGAAAAAATACATTAATGCACTTTTTAAAAAATCAAAGCCTATTGTCTCCTTTCTGAATCCTTCTATATTTTCTATAGTTTATGTATGGCTCTGCTCCAGTGACAAATAAGGACAAAGAGGCTGGTTTCTATCACCAAATGTTTCCAAATATGGACCTTCATTATGAGGGAATCCTTCAGCTACTGCAGCATTTTAAATGGACGTGGATTGGGATGCTATCTATGAATAATCACAATGGGGAGAAGTTTGTACAAAATGTGGTTCCCATGTTTGCCCAAAATGGGATCTGTTTTGACTTCATTGAAAAATTCCCATTTGCTTCGTATTTGACTGATATTGACAATATGGTAGAAAGAGGGATGAAAATATACCACACTATCATGAAAAGCATCGTCAATTCGGTGTTAGTTCAAGGCGAAATTGAAAAAATGATAATTTTGAGAATGTTTCCCTCAATGTTAAAATTTGAAGATATACCATTACCAGGAAATAGTAAAATCTGGATTATGACAGCCCAAATGGATTTCACATCTCTTCCTTTTCAGAGATGGGAAGACCTAGATTTTCTCCATGGGGCTCTATCCTTTGCAGTTCATTCAAGAGAGGTCCTAGGGTTTCGGGAATTTCTTCAGACGATAAAACCAAACCTCAAACAAGAAGATGATTTTATTAGGGTTTTCTGGGAAGAGGCATTTGGATGTGTGTTCTCAGGCACCTTAGTTGACGAGAAGACCAACTCCAGGATGGACAGTCAATCGATTTGTACTGGTGATGAGAAGATAGAGACCCTCCCTGTATCCGTTTTTGAAACAGACATGACTGGCCACAGCTATAGCATCTACAATGCAGTCTATATTTTGGCACAAGCATTACATGTTGCTTATTCAACAACCTTCAAAAATAGAGCAAGAATAGGCATTGTAGGATTTACTGAACTTCTCAAACTACATCCATGGAAGGTAATGTCTCAAATCATAGGGCTTTCTTCTCTCCATTTTCTTCATATATCACAGACACACAGAGATTCTAAAAAACAGATAGGGTCAGGAAAAGAAGCAAAATGCCTTTCCATGAACACACAGGATTCATACTGAGTACCTTTAGCTATATTCCTGTCTGCTTTGCATTTATGTTAATATCTCTTAGACAAACAAACACAATATTCCAGTATTGCAATGCATTAAAGACCCTGATTTTTTTTAATGCTTCTATTTCTTTTTTGTATGTTTCAGACTGTTTTGTAACTGAATTTAATTATTAAATGACATTTTCCTGTAAATTTAAGTTGTGTGATAACCATCATTGTTACAAAAAATGTACCTAAATATATTTAAATACTTCTTATTATTTCTCTTTTAAGTTTGTTATGAGACTAGTGGGAATTTCCTGAATTGGTTGAATGACAGCATGGAAATAAAATATGGTGAATCAATTAAATTTCTTTCTTCTGCATTTGGCTGTAACATTTAATTAATTGTAGAATCCCGGGTTTTTACATTTGTTTGACTCTTTCAGCTAAAAAGTTTTCCAAACAACATACTTCTAAAGAAAATCAATACTCCTTCTGAATTTCTCCTGAACATCTGAATTTAGAATAGAATGGATATGAATGTATTGTATAAATTGTGTTACTAAGCTAATCAAGAAGAGAAGCAACTTAGAACTAAGGAGAGATTTCCTGACAGTTAGAACAATTAATCAGCGGAACAACTTGCCTCCAGAGGTTGTAAATGCTCCAACACTAGCTGTTTTTAAGAAGAGATTAGATAACCATTTGTCTGAAGTGGTGTAGGGTTTCCTGCCTAAGATGGGGGCTGGACTAGAAAACCTCCAAGGTCCCTTTCAACTCTGTTATTCTATTCTATTCTATTTGTCTTGGCTGCTTTCTTCCACACCAATAAACTCCAATGAATGTCTCACAAACTGTGAGAGAAAAACCCCTTCCTTCCAAGACTCAGATTATAAGATTTAAGGACGCTTGTACTGTATATATTGAGAACTTGTCATAGGATGGTAGACACTGTTTGTCCCTTCCATTAAATATAGCTTGCATGAAAAAATATATTTTCTTTCCCATATTTCAGCGCTTTACAGATCCTGATGAATAGTTTGTTGCCTCCCTTTAGTTTCTGTTTTTTTGTTTTGTAGTTCAATCAAATTGTAAGAAGCATCTCATTCAATAATACTGCAGGAGAAGCACTGTCTTTCAATCAAAATGGAGAACTAGAGGCTGGATTTGATGTCATCAATTGGGTCACATTCCCAAACAAATCCTTCTTGAAAGTCAAAGTTGGTGGAATAGGATCTGTGACTTCCCAAGAGGATATATTAAAAATTGACGAAGAAGCCATCGTTTGGCCAAGCAGGTTTAACCAGGTTTGGATAATCTAGGATGAGGTTACTAACGTTTTAATTGAATAGATGTGATCTGTGGGATAATTCCTGATTCCTATGTCTGAAATATTAAAAGATGTGCCTAGGAAAATTTATAAGGATTGATGTTATAGGAAGGAAGGTTTAATTGCCATACAGTACTCCTGCAAGTTAGAAGAAGAAAAAATGCCTTTAGAAGTGATGTAATAACCATGTGAACAAAGCTTTTACACAGTTAGACAGGGCAGAAAAGGTGCTGCACAGGTACTGTAATTGGGAGAATTATCCCAATTTATTCCATGAGAACCTCTTAATTATGTGTAAACCAAGCAGGTTTAACCAGATTTGGGTAATCCGGAATGAGGTTATCAGTGTTTAACTGAATAAACATGACCTGTTCCAGTGATTTTTTTCTTGCTTTCTCTTGACTGAAATACTAAAAGATATGGCAGGGAATAATATTTGAAATGATGAATTTTAACGGATGGGTTGTTTAATTGACAATACTCCCACCACATTAAAAAAGAAAAGGGAAAAAACCTTCAGAAGTGATGTAATAATATAAATATGTAAACAAACCTTTTGTGTGTACACACACACACACACACACACACACACACACAGTGTTGAAAAGTGGAATAATTTATTTTATTTATTTTATTTTATTATTCGAATTTCTATACCGCCCTTCTCCTTTCGGACTCAGGGCGGTGAACAGCCAAAACAAAAACATTTATACATAAATACGATTAAAAATAGATTTAAAATAATTAAATTTGGCCCATAGTTTAAAATTTATCAATTTAAAATCCATATCAAAAATAATTGAATTCTAATCAAAATAATTCCAAAAATTAGTATAACTATCTGAATCTATTCCGTAAAACCCTCTGAATTATATTACCCATATTATTATATAATATATATAATCTTAAATCACAGCAGGAACCAGCATTTAACACAGGGCTGTGAAATTTGCAGCTAATGGGTCGGATGCGTCATGCTCTGGCCATGCCTAAACCCAGTTCAGTGAAGGGGAAAAAAGTCACAATATGTCACGTGATGATGCCGTGATGATGCAAGTTACACACCTGATCTAACAGATCTTGTTGATAGTGATAGAATCTAAATGATGTGATTTGTCTTGGTAATTATTAACCAGAAGACTAGAAAATTCCAAGGCCCTAGAACGTTGGGGGAAAAAACACAAAGAAGACAAGGTAAATAACCTGTGTTCCATGGTCAAGAGAGCTATGTGGATCAGGGGTGGGTTCAAAATTTTTTACTACCGGTTCTGTCGGTGTGGCAGGATGGCCATGGCATGGCTTGGTGGGCGTGGCTTGGCCGTGGCAGGCAAAGGATACTATAAAATCTCCATTCCCACCCCGCTCCAGGGGAAGATTATTGCAAAATCCCAATTCCCTCCCAATCAGCTGGGACTTGGGAGGCAGAGAATAGATGGGGGCAGGGGCAGTCAGAATTTTTACTACCAGTTTTCCGAACTACTCAAAATTCCTGCTACAGGTTCACCAGAACTGGTCAGAACCTTCTGAAACCCAAATCCGATGTGGATGTATTTTTTTTGTCTGTAAAGGACCTTGACTCAAGGACATTTTTACCTTAGCATCAATAAAAGTACACAGCAAAATTCTGTGTGGGAGCTCTATCAATGCCATGGTATTTTCATCCCCTTGTTTCTTTTTATTGACATCACTCACAAGGCTTTCCCCCCAAATCTGATACAAAGTGGGAGCTTTGTAGATAATACAAATACTGCACAAACTTGAAAAATGCAAACCATTCTCTTCTATCTTTGATGAACAGATCCGGCCACTTTCTCTGTGTAATAACTATTGCCCTATGGGTTACGCTAAGACCAAAATAGAAGGGAGGCAATTTTGCTGTTACGATTGTCTTCACTGTCCAGAAGGGAAGATTTCCAGTCTGATAGGTGAGTGACGAAATATAAGCGATGCAGATTTGGACAATGTATTGATATTAAATACAGTATTTACTTCTATGCAGCCAAAACTTTCTCACAGTTTATAGATGTAGTACAGTGGTGAAATGCTCCTGGTTCGGACTGGCTCGGGCGAGTAGGTAGCGATGGCGGCGGGCAGTTCAGAGAACTGGTAGGAAAAATCCCTGCCACCGCCTCCCATGCCCAACTGAGCTGCGTGATCATCAGAGCCTTTTTTTTCTTTTAAATGGCTCTGACCAGCCAAGCTCTCACGATCCCAGCTGAGTTGCCTGCTAATCAGGCAACTCAGCTTGGATCACCAGAGCCATGTAAAAGAAAAAAAACTTTTTTTCTTTTAAATGGCTCTGACCCCCTCAGCTTGCTTACTTTAGCTGCTGGTCACAATGCCTTGCTGTAATCCCTGCAAATCCATTGCATCAGCAAGCAACTGAATCTCCCTGCCTGCAATCAAGCAGGCAGGCAGTTGTGGATTTCAACTCCCAGAATTCCTCAGCCAGCAAAGCAAAGCTGGCTGAGGAATTCTGGGAGTTTAAGTCTACAAGTTTTCAAGTTGCCAAGGTTGGAGACCCCTGTTCTATTGGATAAGTTTTTTTTCCCCTTTGGGAGCTTTAAAAAAATAGTTAATTGAGTTTTTTTTTTTTAGTTGTTCTTTTTTTAGACCTAGCCATTTAAAGTTTAGGGAGTTTTAAATTTAGCTGCTTTTATATAAAAATAAAAATAAAATAAAATAATATTTGTGCAGCTTTCTGAGATTTAGTGTGTTTCTGTAGTGTTTCACTCTAACTACACAAACACACAAAATCTCACAAAGCTGTATGAGGAATTTTGTATGTGTGAAGTGTGAAAGTTGGTTTTTTGGGCTTTTTGTGGCTCTGTGAGGTTCCTGCTTGTTGCAGGCGCCATTTTGGGTCTAGCACAGCTGCTTTTACATTGTGGGTGAGCCAGTTGTGTTGTGTTGTGTTGTGTTGTGTGTGTGTAAAGTGTGAAAGTTGTTTTTTGGGGCTTTTTGTGGCTGTGTGAGGTTCCTCCTTGTTGCAGGCACCATTTTGGGTCTAGCACAGCTGCTTTTACATTGTGGGTGAGCCAGTTGTGTTGTGTTGTGTTTTGTAGGTTAAAAAAGGGCAAAGAAGTGACATTGACTTGGCCATGCCCACCTGACCAACAAGCCACATGCTCCCAGTCACCTTACCACCAAGCCCCGCCCGCTAATTAAGCCACGCCCACAGAACCGGTAGCAAAAAAATTTAGATTTCACCCCTGATGTAGTGTAAGTGTATATTATGATGTGAATACACATCTTAACACTATTTTGTTGCCTAGTGGAAAGATCTCTATTTGTTTTCTCTGGGTAGCTCACACAATGGCAGTGGTGGGATGCTGCAACAGTTGATATTCTGCGCAGAGATGAGTTCAAATCTATATTAACAGCTTCAGAAGACCATCAGCATAAAAACTATCTTCAGCAGTTCAAACTGTCATGTCATTCCATGAAAAAGCTGTGTGTTTTCAGGATGTAGAGAGGACATAATTTTGTGCTTCTGCAAACCACAAGTCGCTTTTGGAGATACAATCCTATGCTTTCCACAGCTTTATTTGGCATTTCTATGTTGAATTAAACAATCTGATTGATTGTAAAAAAAAAGAAAAAAAAGGAACAATGGAATTAGAAAGAAATATTTATGGAAATCTTTCTAATGTGGGTAGAGGAAGAAGGGTAGAGGAGATCTGGAGAACTAGCAAAGTGAGTAGCTGCATTTAGAGTGGTAATGAGTGCACTGTTGGAAAACTGAAAGACCAGATTAGGGGCATGTTCAATGGAGAATATCTATTTATGGATCCCTAAGAATAGACACCAGCTTGACTGCACATAATCAATAAGTAATATTTATTATACAAGGACATGGCAATAAATCAGAGGGAAATAATCCTTATTTCTCAGAACTCTTTGATAACTTTTTCTGTGGAGGAAAACCAGGGTCATGAACAAGCCTTCCTTTTTCATGCATCCTTTCCCTTTGTATTTGCAATGCCATTGGAAGGATCTACTTCATAGAATGTAGGTGAAGTCCTGAAAGAGAACAGGTGGCTTTTCAATCCTCTGTAAACTTTCTTACCATACTTCCAATGCACAACTTGTCTATTTCATACATAATGACACAAATAAAGGCGCTCTGACTCTTTTATCCATTTCTTCATTTCTTCATCACCCACATTTTTACTTCATGTCGACTTAGTCATTGAAAACAATTTGGTATAGTGGTTAAGTTATGGAAGCTGGAAGCAAACCTAAGTTCCTGTCTTGTCTTGGCAGATCCTGGTGACCTTTTACTGGTCAAGCCTTCTGAGATTTAATAAAATGGTCATAATAAAAATTTGCAAAAAAATAATAATAATAAATCAAGAAGCTTCATCGATTTTTAAAGTCTGACTTAAAAACAAATACATGTAAATGTTTCAATAATGTTTTCTAATGCTGGTCTTATAGTTAGAATCTGTTTTCCAGTTTTACTCCTAATAAAATTTAACTTAAAAGAAAAGCTCATATGCTTATTATGCCAGCAGTTACAGGGTTCAAGAGCTCAGACTGAGATAACAAAACTGAGCTATCCTCAGAGTAGTGCATTCATATTCTTTCAGTTTAATTTTAAAACAATTATGTTTCTAACCTGATTTTTTTCCTAGATATGGATGACTGTTTTCCATGCCCAGAAGATCAGTATCCAAACAAGGAACAGAATTCATGTCTTCCAAAAACTGTAACATTTCTGACATATGAGGAAACGTTGGGGTCCATTTCGGCCATTTGTTCTCTTTCTTCCTCTTTTATCATAGTGTTGGTGCTGGGTATCTTCATTAAGTACCAGGATACGCCCATCGTCAAGGCCAACAACCGAAACCTCACCTACATCCTTCTCATTTCTCTCCTGTTTTCATTTCTTTGCGCTTTACTATTTATTGGCAAACCTCATAAAGTAACATGTCTCCTTCGACAAAGTGCTTTTGGTGTCATTTTTACTGTAGCTGTATCCTGTGTGTTAGCAAAAACTATTGTGGTGATTTTAGCTTTCATGGCCACCCAACCAAAGTCTACTATGAGGAAATGGGTGGGGAAAAGATTGGCCATTTCCATTGTATTTTTCTGCTCTTTCATTCAAGTAGTTCTTTGTACTGTCTGGCTGTTGACTTTTCCTCCATTCCCTGATTTCAACATGCACTTAATGGCAGAAGAAATTATTCTGGAATGTAATGAAAACTCTTTTCTCATGTTCTATTTTGTCTTGGGCTTCATGTTCCTTTTAGCCCTTGTCAGCTTTACTGTAGCTTTCTTTGCCAGGAAATTACCAGACTCTTTTAACGAAGCCAAATTTATCACCTTCAGCATGTTGATTTTCTGCAGCGTTTGGCTCTCCTTTGTTCCTAGTTATCTGACTACAGGGGGCAAATATATGGTGGCTGTGGAGATTTTCTCCATTATAACATCCAGTGGGGGGCTCCTTGTGTGCATCTTTTTCCCTAAATGCTATATCATCATACTGAGGCCTGAATTGAATAGCAAGCAACATCTAAGACAAAAAAATAATTAAACAACTCTATTTCCTGTTTTTAATATAGCAATACAAAAGCAGTAAGCCCCCAAAGTGAAGATATACAACCCTTTCCCATTTTTACCTGAGGAACAATAATCATCTTAACTGAGCCTACTTACTATTTTGTGGGTAAATGTACTGTCTTAAAGCCTATATTTTCCTTAGCTTTAACTTTCTTCTTTTAAGAATGTTTTAAAATTCTTAACAACACTTTTATCAGCATGTTATATTCGTTTTCTTTGTCTGTGAAACAACTTGTTTCTTGAAAGAGTTGGAATTAGCCCTTGTCTAATGTCTCAAAAGAAGAACGCGGTGGCTCAGTGGCTAAGACACTGAGCTTGCCAATCATTTGAACTAACAAACAATACAGCATACCTTTATTAAACATCATCAGAAACAATCATCAGAAACAGGTGATGGCCAATTTAGGACAAAAACTAGGGGGAAACAAGAGGGAAAACTGAAGAGTAGCAAAGAGATAAAAGGACAGAGGACTTAATATCAACAATTTACATTGTTATATATTTATATGGGACAAGGAGGCTCAGTGGCTAGGATGCTGAACTTGTCAATCAAAAGGTCAGCAGTTCAGCAGTTTGAATCCCTAGTGCTTCATAATGGGTTGATCTCCTGTTACTTGTCCCAGCTTCTGCCAACCTAGCAGTTTGAAACACTTAAAAAATGCAAGTAGAAAAATAGGGACCACATTTGGTGGTAAGATAGGAGCATTCTGTGCGCCTTTGGTGTTTACTCATGCCAGCCACATGACCACGGAGACATCTTCAGACAGCGCTCCCAGCTGAGTTGGTGGCTCTTTGTCTTTGAAATGGAGATGAGCACCACCCCCTAGAGTCGGGAACGACTAGCACATATGTGCGAGGGGAACCTTTACCTTTACCTAATGTCTCAAAGTTATATTTCAGCAAAGGGATTTATCAGATGACCTTCCGTTTTTCAATTAATGAACGTGGAAAGGTGTGCTTTTTCTTGGTCTTGGCTTGTGTAAACCTGGAATAGAAGGTGATGATAGGAAATAAGAATTGAATGCATCTTCCCTCGTATGTTGCTAAAGAAGCAAAAGATTTCAGGACTTGTCTGTTGTTGTCTTTTAGTATTCTAAGACAATGCCAGAATTTTACTGATTATTTAAAAATTAAAATATGAAGAATAAATGGAATACAAAACAGTGTTGGCTCTTCGGCTTTGAAATGGAAATGAGCACTGCCCCCTATAGTTGGGAACAACTAACACATATGTGCGAAGGGAACTTTTACCTTTATTTAATGTCTCAAAGTTATATATTGCCAGAATATAACTGATTATTTAAAAATTAAAATATGAAGAATAAATGGAATACAGAACGAAGACTCCTTTGGCCTTCTGCTGATCAAAAAATTCCGGAACATGGTAATGCTGTATTTTCAAATGACTAACAGGAGAAAACAACTCCCTACAAGAATCTCCTAGACCATCTTCATTGCAAAATCTTCCTGAAATTCTCCACCTGTGGAACACAATGCAGACCTCTCTCTTTGACCTGCTTTAATGCCATGCCATCTGCAATGTTGGAAAGGAAATATAATACAGCTGTTGCGGAGCAAAGTTGTCTCGGTGATTTGAAACAACCATAGATTCCAGCCAAGATTCCAGTCCTTTCTATTGCAACCTTTATAACTTCATTTTCTGACAGAAATTCCACATTTTCTGTTTCACACATACACATATGCACATGCATACAAATATATATGATTTCTTATTGAAAGAATAAACATATTAAGAAGGTGATATTAAAATGGGAGGAATTAAAATTGTCACTATTAAGGAGGCATTGCTGCAAATGAATAACTACTGAAATGAAGATGGGAAGCCACCTTTTAAATTTAATTTACTATCCCTAGAAACATTATTAAATGAAATTAGAAGAGATAAAGAAATAAAAGGTCTGAGAGTCAAAAAGGAGGAGTACAAACTTCAAGCCTTCGCCGATGACATGGTTTTTATAGTAGAACAACCAATAGTAACAGGAACTAAACTATTAGCAAAAATAGAAGAATATGGGAGGGTAGCCAGACTTAAAATAAACAAGCAAAAAAACAAAGGCAGTAACGAAAAACCTTACTAATCAACAAGAGAAGGAATTAGAAGACAAAATGGGTATTCAGACAACAAAAAAGGTAAAATATCTAGGAATATGGCTTACCAACAAAGGATCATCGATTAGGGAAGATAACTACAATAAATTGACAAGACAAATAAAAAAAGATTTAGAAATTTGGAATAAACTACAACTATCATTCCTTGGAAAGATTGCTTCAATTAAAATGAACATACTACCCAGAATCTTATATCTATTCCAAGTGATTCCAATAAAACCGGGGAAGAATTTCTTTAACTATTTCAATAAATTAATTGCAAACTATATCTGGTGGGGGAAGAAAGCAAGCATTAAAATAAAACACAAGGGAGAGAGGAGGACTAGCACTACCGGACTGGGAGACATACTCTAAAGCATCATCACTGATTTGGATTAAAGACTGGATAGAACTCAAAAATAAAAGAATACTGACAGTAGAAGGATTTCATCTCCAAAGAGGATGGCACACATTCTTGTGGGAGGGAAAAGACAAGCAACATGGATATTTTCAAAAACACATCATTAGACAAGCATTGTTCCAGAAATAGCAGGGGATAAAAAAGACATACTACGATAAAATTCCGGAATGGCTATAGAATATGAAGGCACAAATTTACCCTAATGCCATGGACACTGCCAAAATGAAAACCTACAAAGAACTGCTAAACTACCAAGGGGAATTAAGATCGAGACAAGAACTGAAAGAAATGGGTACAGACATTGATTGGTGGCCATGTCAGGTTTCGAGGTCATCTCAAATAAATTACATTTCAAACAAAGTCATACTTGAAAATAAAATCTAGATATAAGACAGATTCGGCACAATTTGGATTCCAAAAAAGTCAATATGAATTAGATAAAATTTTACAAGGGACAGATGATAAATTGATAAAAAGAACCTTACAATTACCTATTAAGATACAAATTAGAAGAAGTGGTTAACAAAAATATGATAATCTGGGCGAGAAATTTTGTATATAACATTGAATTGGAAAAATGGGAAAATTATGGACAATAAATTATAAACTAACAATGTCTGTACCCTATAAAGAAAACATATACAAAATGTTCCATAGGTGGCACCTCCCACTGGTCAGACTGGCAAGGATGTTCCTGAATATCTCCCCAACATGCTGGAAATGCAAGCTCCAAAAAGGAACCTATTACCATATGTGGTGGTCCTGTCAGAAAGCAAAAGAATATTGGCAAATGATTAGAAAACAATTAAAAGGAATCATACACCAAAAAATAGAATTGAGGCCAGAAACTTTTTTATTAGGAATAATTATAGGACAATATGAAAAGGAAATAAAATATTTAATCATCCATATTTTAACAGCAGCACGAATAATCTATGCCCAAAATTGGAAGAATAATGATATACCAACAGAAGACAGAGTGATCAGTAAAATTATGGAATGTGCAGAAATGGACAAACTCACAAAGAAAATACAAGGAAAAGAGGAAAACGATTATTATTTAGTATGAGAGAAATGGTACATGTGGTTGGAGGATAGAAAAGAAAAAAGATAAGGAAATAAACAAGAAGATATAAATTATAGATATGAACATTAAGTACCAATTTAGGTTAATAGTGAATTAAAAATATTGATTAAGAGAAGATATAGAAATGATGTATTAGGAATATAGATATAAGAAATAGGTTAAAATAAGAAAAAGTAAAGGTATAAACAAAAATATCGATTACCAATGTGACAAATTTGAAAAGAGAATGTATACCTGATTTTTGTTTACTTGTTTGTATTCGTATGTTTTGTTGTTTGTTTGTACTTTCTAATAATTTTTTTTATAAAAAATAAAAAAAATATAATTGTCACTATTAAGGAGGTATTGCTCCAAAATGAATAACTACTGAAATGAAGATGGGAAGCCACCTTTTAAAAGTTTATTTTCATATTTTTAAATATTTTTTTAACATAGTGTTCTTTTGCATTTTAAGAATGTGTCTGATTTCCACTAAGAAGCCTGGTATTCATTTGAAAGATAGGAAATCACACTGGAGAGTCTCCAATGGGGGGGGGAGGGGCAGATGTGACCAGCTTGGCTTCAATGGGGTTTGGATTAGCAATACAACTGAGAGGTGTGGTGTTTTTTCTTCTTGTTGTTTTCTTGCTTTGTGGAAGGGAAGTGGCTCCTGAAATCAGTGTTTGATCACCATATGAAATCAGGAGTTGATCATTGTATATGAACTTTGTAAAATCAATTAAGTCAAACTATTAAAAAACAAATCATGTAAACCCAGTTTCAAGGAACAATACCATGGGATCAGTTATGGAGGTAGTACAAATGCTATTACTTTGCCAGGATTTCTCATTTTAAAAAAAATCATTCACTCATCCATCCATCCATCCATCCATCCATCCATCCATCCATCCATCAATGTGTGACATTTATTTTCTATGGACTTCACAGAGACTCCCCCTTCACTGTTATAAATACAACATTGCAAATAACTTAGACTTTCATGCCTACATTTAATTATCTTTTTCATCCTTGCTGCTTTGAGGTTTGCTGTCAAATCCCATTATTGCTTGGTGTCAAGTAGAGGGTTTTTTGTTTTGTTTTTTGAGACATGACAAACAAACTGTTCCTTCTTGTTCAAGGTCCCTCAGGACTTGGGAGTTGATGGTTATCTCAAAAGTAATAACAAGTATAAACAAAAAGACAGGGAAAAATATAATCAGAAGACAGGCAGAAACCTCAAATAGATCAAAATCTGTTAATACCTGCCCCTGAAACATCCCCATCTGCAATTCCAGTTAGCTACTGCTTGACCACATGTGATTTTTATCTCAAAGTCTGAGCTTTCCCATTTCTCCATAAACACAGAAATAAAGTATATAGACAAGCAAAGAAACAGGCAGCAACTTTTCTTTTCAACATAAATTAAATATCTCGAAGGAGAAAACGAGCTGGAGAAAGGTGACATGCATTGAAGAATGAATTGTTTTCTTCTATGTATTATGTCCATAGCATTCCTATCAATGCTTTGTCTACAAGGAATGTGTCACCATTCTCATAGTAAATGCAGCACTACAGATCCTCTGCCTCTTCTCCACAAGCAATACCAGTCAGGGGACATCCACTTTGCTAGCATCATTTCTCAGATCTTCCTGTTTTATACAATGATGGACTTTAAGGCACCTCCTTCTAGCAACCTCTTTGAGGAAAGTATGTAAGTATTGAGTTATGGCCAGAGAGAGATATGTCAAATAGACCTGAAGATGATTGAGTGAAATGAGTGAGTGAAAGTGCATTATTTGAATTGTATTGTGCATATAACACAACAACATGTATGCTGATGTCTTGCATCAAATTCGTGTAAATATTCAGTTATGGTCAGAGAGATATATGTCAAATAGACCTGAAGGTGACTAAGTGAAAGGGCATTTTATGAATTATATTATGCATATGATATAGTTACATGTATGCTGACAGGTTGCATCAAATTCACCATGTAGTCTTGAGTCATCGGTAGAGCATGAAATAATTGCTGGCTATATATGATATATCTGTATATTTACAGTACCCCTACATATGCATAATCATTTTATGTACTTTCCATATTTGGTGCCTTTATCTGCTTGATTGATGTTCGATCATCAAATTCCAAGCAAAGAATGTTAGAGAATGGATGTTTCTTTCTGTCCAGTTAGGTTTTGTCATTGTTCCCCTCCTGATTGCTTCTTTCATACGTGGATTGAACCACCTCCTCACATTATGTTTGAATTATTGCTTCTTACATATATAAATTGGATCAACTCCTTATATTACAGTATATTTGAAAGGAGAGGCAAAATAGATATCATATTCTACAAGAAACGAGTTACAGCATATCATGTACCTCTCCCTTCAGGGTCATAACACAGATTTACCAACATATCCTGGCTTTAATATTTGCTGTTAAGGAGATCAATACTAATCCCTATATTTTACCCAATGTTACCCTGGGCTTTCAAATCTATAACAGCCATTTTACTCCAAAGTGGATGTACCATGCCTCAATGGAACTCCTTTCTTCTAAAGGCAGATTAATTCCTAATTACAACTGTGACATTCAGAAATATCCAGTAGCAATGATTGGAGGACCTGACACTGACGTATGTCTTCATATGGCCATCATTCTACACATCTACAAATTTTCTCAGGTAACCATGTATGTGGAGTATGGATACAATCCAGTTAAATTTCTCATTTCATTTTGGTACAAATTGATTGCTGACATAAATAAACACTTACTGAAATCAAGAGGAACATTTTCTTGTTAATAGTTGGATGATGCATGTGAGGATGGCAAACCTCATCTATTTCTAATCAGGGCTTAAACAATAGACTGCACTTAACATGAAGGTTTATACAGGAAAGGAAGCCCCAAAGAAATCAAAGCAAAATTGAGGCAAAAAAAAGAAAAGAAAAGAAAAGAAAAGATAAATTGGGTACAACTAGTCTTAAAAGATTATGGATTATGCTTGAAAGTGTTAGAAGACTCAAATGCCAAATATAAGCCTGTTAATATGTAATGGAACTAAACTTTTGTTTTGTGAACTATAATGAGAAAAAAATACATTAATGCACTTAAAAAAAAATCAAAGCCTATTGTCTCCTTTCTGAATCCTTCTATATTTTCTATAGTTTATGTATGGCTCTGCTCCAGTGACAAATAAGGAGAAACAGGCTGGTTTCTATCACCAAATGTTTCCAAATATGGACCTTCAGTATAAGGGAATTCTTCAGCTACTGCAGCATTTTAAATGGACGTGGATTGGGGTACTATCTGTGAATAATCACAACGGGGAGAAGTTTGTACAAAACGTGATACCAATATTTGCCCAAAATGGGATTTGCTTTGATTTCATTGAAAGATTTCCCAAAATTTCTTATTCTACTGACATTCTTACTATGGTGAAAGAAGGGATGCAAATGTACAGCATAGTCATGAACAGCACAGTCAATGCAGTTTTAATTCAAGGTGAAATTGATATAATGATAATTTTGAGAATGTTTCCCTCTATGTCCAAATTTGAAGAGATACCATTACAACTAAAGAGTAAAATCTGGATTATGACAGCTCAGATGGATTTCACGTCTCTTCCCTTCCAGAGATGGGAAGATCTAGATTTTCTCCATGGGGCTCTATCCTTTGCAGTTCATTCAAGAGAAGTCCTAGGGTTTCGGGAATTTCTTCAGATGATAAAACCGAACTTCAAACAAGAAGATGATTTTATTAGGGTTTTCTGGGAAGAGGCATTTGGATGTGTGTTCTCAGGCACTTTAGTTGATGAGAAGACCAACTCCAGGATGGACAGTCAATCGATTTGTACTGGTGATGAGAAGATAGAGACCCTCCCTGTATCCGTTTTTGAAACAGAGATGACTGGCCACAGCTATAGCATCTACAATGCAGTCTACATTTTGGCACAAGCATTACATGTTGCTTCTTCAACAACCTTCAAAAATAGAGCAAGAATAGGCATTGTAGGACTTACTGAACTTCTCAAACTACATCCATGGAAGGTAATGTCTCAAATCATAGGGCTTTTTTTTTTTAATTTGATTTATATGCTGCCCTTCTCCGGAGACTCAGGGCGGCTTACAGTGCGTTAAGCAATAGCCTTCATACTTTTGTATACTTATACAAAGTCAGCTTATTGCACTCACAAACTGGGTCCTCAATTTACCTACCTTAGAAAGGATGGAAGGCTGAGTCAACCTTCAGTCAACCTTTCTTTTCTCAATTTCTTCATATATCACACACACACATATATGTACATTTGTCTGTACATCCTACAATGGCCATATAAAATATCTACTTCAATATCATTTTGCTTTGGTTACAGTTTATTTCCTCCCAATAAAATAAGATTCTAAAAAACAGATGGGGTCAGGAAGATAGCAAAATGCCTTTCATGAACACACAAGGATTCATACTGAATACCTTTAGATATATTCCTTTCTGCTTTGCATTTATGTTAATATCTCTTAAACAAACAAAAACCATATTCCAGTATTGCAATGCATTAAATACCCTGATTTTTTTTTACTGTTTCTATTTCTTTTTTATATCTTTCAAGATGTTTTGTAACTGAATTTAATTATTAGATGACATTTTCTTCAATATTATACCTAAAAGCATTTAAATAGTTATGGTTATCTCCCTTTTAACTTTGTTATGAGACTAGTGGGAATTTCCTGAATTGGTTGAATGACAGCATGGAAATACAATATGGTGAGTCAATTAAATTTCTTTCTTCTGCATTTGGCTGTAACATTTAATTAATTGTAGAATCCCGAGTTTCTACATTTGTTTGACTCTTTCAGTTAAAAAGTTTTCCAAACAACATACTTCCAAAGAAAATCAATACTCCTTCTGAATTTCTCCCGAACGTCTGAATTTAGAATAGAATGGTTATGAATGTATTGTATAAATTGTGTTACTAAGCTAATCAAGGAGAGAAGCAACTTAGAACTAAGGAGAGATTTCCTGACAGTAAGAACAATTAATGAGTCGATCAAGTTGCCTCCAGAAGTTGTAAATGCTACCACACTGGATGTTTTTAAGAAGAGATTAGATAACCATTTGTCTGAAGTGGTGTAGGGTTTCCTGCCTAAGCTGGGGGTTCGACTAGAAAACCCTCAAGTTCTCTTCCAACTCTGTTATTCTATTCTATTCTATTCTATTTGTCTTGGCTGCTTTCTTCCACACCAATGAAATCCAATGAATGTCTCACAAACTGAGAAAAAAACCCCTTCCTTCCAGTGTTTTCCAAAACACAGATTATAAGATTTAAGGATGCTTGTACTGTATATATTGAGAACATGACATAGGATGGTAGACACTGTTTGTCCCTTCCATTAAATATAGCTTGCATGAAAAAATATATTTTCTTTCCCATATTTCATCACTTTACAGATCCTGATGAATGGTTTGTCACCTCCCTTTAGTCTCTGTTTTTTGTTTTGTAGTTCAATCAATTTGTAAGAAGCATCTCATTCAATAATACTGCAGGAGAAGCACTGTCTTTCAATCAAAATGGAGAACTAGAGGCTGGATTTGATGTCATCAATTGGGTCACATTCCCAAACAAATCCTTCTTGAAAGTCAAAGTTGGTGGAATAGGATCTGTGACTTCCCAAGAGGATATATTAAAAATTGATGAAGACACTATCATTTGGCCAAGCAGGTTCAACCAGGTTTGGATAATCCGGAATGAGGTTATCAAAGTTTGACTCAATATACATGACTTGTTCCAGTGATTTTTTTCTTACTTTCTCTTGACTGAAATACTAAAAGATATGGCAGGGAATAATACTTGAAATAATGAATTTTAACGGAAGGGTTGTTTAATTGACAATACTCCCACCACATTAAAAAAGAAAAAGAAAAAAACCTTCAGAAGTGATGTAATAATATAAATATGTAAACAAACCTTTTGTGTGTACACACAAACACTGACAGACTCATAGTGTTGAAAAGTGGAATAATTGAATTCTAACCAAAATAATTCCAAAAATTAGTATAACTCTTTGAATCTATTCCGTAAAACCCTCTGAATTATATAACCCATATTATTATATAATATATATAATCTTATATCACAGCAGGAATCAGCATCTAACACAGGGCTGTGAAACAACACAAATTTGATACTCCTGATCTAACAAATCTTGTTGATGGTGATAGAAACTAAATAATGTGATTTGTGTTGGTAGTTATTAACCAGAACACTAGAAAATTCCAAGGCCCTAGAAAGTTGAAAAGAACACAAAGAAGACAAGGTAAATTACCTGTGTTCCATGGTCAAGAGAGCTATATGGATGTATTTTTATGTCTGTAGAAGATGACCTTGACTCAAGGATGTTTTTACCTTAGCATCAATAAAAATACCCAGCAAAACTCAGTTCTGTAAACTCAAGCTCTGTAAATACCATGGTATTTTCCTCCCCTTGTTTCCTTTCATTGACATCACTCACAAGGTTTCCCCGCCAAACCTGATACAAAGTAGGATCTTTGTAGATAATACAAATACTGCACAAACTTGAAAAATGCAAAGCATTCTCTTCTATCCTTTATGAACAGATCCGGCCACTTTCTCTGTGTAATAACTATTGCCCTGTGGGTTATGCTAAGACCAAAATAGAAGGGAGGCCATTTTGCTGTTACGAATGTCTTCACTGTCCAGAAAGGAAGATTTCCAATCTGATAGGTGAGTGACGAAAGATAAGCGATGCAGATTTGGACAATGCATTGATATTAAGTACAGTAGATATTTACTTCTATGCAGTCAAAACTTTCTCACAGTTTATAGATGTAGTGTAAGTGTATACTATGAGCTGAATACATATCTTAACACTATTTTGTCACCTAGTGGACAGATCTCTATTTCTTTTCTCTGGGTAGCTCACACAATGGCAGTGGTGGGATGCTGCAACAGTTGATATTCTGTGCAGAGATGAGTTCAACTCTATATTAACAGCTTCAGAAGACCATCAGCATAAAAACCATCTTCAGCAGTTCAAACTGTCGTGTCATTCCATGAAAAAGCTGTGTGTTTTCATGATGTAGAGAGGATATAATTTTGTGCTTCTGCAAACCACAAGTCGCTTTTGGAGATACAATCCTATGCTCTCCACAGCTTTATTTGGCATTTCTATGTTGAATTAAACAATCTGATTGATTGTAAAAAAAAAGAAAAGGAACAATGGAATTAGAAAGAAATATTTATGGAAAGCTTTCTAATGTGGGTAGAGGAGATCTGGAGAACTAGCAAAGTGAGTAGCTGCATTTAGAATGGTAATGAGTGCACTGTTGGAAAACTGAAAGACCAGATTAGGGAGATGTTCAATGGAGAATATCTATTTATGGGTCCCTAAGAATAGACACCAGCTTGACTGCACATAATCAATAAGTAATGTTTATTATACAAGGACATGGCAATAAATCAGAGGGAAATAATCCTTATTTCTCAGAGCTCTTTGATAACTTTTTCTGTGGAGGAAAACCAGGGTCATGAACAAGCCTTCCTTTTTCATGCATCCTTTCCCTTTGTATTTGCAATGCCATTGGAAGGTTCTACTTCCTACAATGTAGATGGAGCCCTGAAAGAGAACAGCTGGCTTTTCAATCCTCTGTAAACTTTACCATACTTTCAATGCACAACTTGTCTATTTCATACTTAATGAGACAAATAAAGATGCTCTGACTCTTTGATCCATTTATTCATTTCTTCATTACCCACATTTTTATTTCATGTTGCCTCAGTCATGAAAAACAATTTGGTATGCTAGTTAAGTTATGGAAGTTGGAGTGGCAAATCTAAGTTCCAGACTTGTCTTGGCAGATCCTGGTGATCTTCTGAGATTAAATAAAATGATCATAGTAAACAATTTGCAAAAAAAAGAAAGAAAGAAAGAAAGAAAGAAAGAAAGAAAGAAAGAAAGAAAGAAAGAAAGAAATTTCAAGAAGCTTCATTGATTTCCAAAGTCTGAGTTAAAAACAAATATGTGTAAATATTTCAACAATGTTTTCTAATGCTGGTCTTATCATTAAAATCTGTTTTCCAGTTTTACAACTAGTAAAATTTAACCTAAAAGAAAAGCTCATATGTTTATTATGCCAGCAGTTACAGGGTTCAAGAGATCAGACTAAGATAACAAGACTTCAGGTTATCCTCAGAACAGTGCATTCATATTCTTTCATTCTTTAATTTTAGAACAATTATGTTTCTAACCTGATTTTTTTCCTAGATATGGATGACTGTTTTCCATGCCCAGAAGATCAGTATCCAAACAAGGAACAGAATTCATGTCTTCCAAAAACTGTAACATTTCTGACATATGAGGAAACTTTGGGGTCCATTTCGGCCATTTGTTCTCTTTCTTCCTCTTTTATCATAGTGTTGGTGCTGGGTATCTTCATTAAGTACCAGGATACACCCATCGTCAAGGCCAACAACCGAAACCTCACCTACATCCTTCTCATTTCTCTCCTGTTTTCATTTCTTTGTGTTTTACTATTTATTGGCAAACCTCATAAAGTAACCTGTCTCCTTCGACAAAGTGCTTTTGGTGTCATTTTTACTGTGGCTGTATCATGCGTGTTAGCAAAAACAATTGTGGTGATTTTAGCTTTCATGGCCACCCAACCAAAGTCTACAATGAGGAAATGGGCGGGGAAAAGATTGGCCATTTCCATTGTATTTTTCTGCTCTTTCATTCAAGTAGTTCTTTGTACTGTTTGGCTTTTGACTTTTCCTCCATTCCCTGATTTCAACATGCACTTAATGGCAGAAGACATTGTTCTGGAATGTAATGAAAATTCTTTTGTCATGTTCTACTGTGTCTTGGGCTTCATGTTCCTCTTAGCCCTTGTCAGCTTTACGGTAGCTTTCTTTGCCAGGAAATTACCAGACTCTTTTAACGAAGCCAAATTTATCACCTTCAGCATGTTGATTTTCTGCAGTGTTTGGCTCTCCTTTGTTCCTAGTTATCTGACTACAGGGGGGAAAACATATGGTGGCTGTGGAGATCTTCTCCATTATAGCATCCAGTGGGGGGCTCCTTGTGTGCATCTTTTTCCCTAAATGCTATATCATCATACTGAGGCCTGAGTTGAATAGCAAGCAACATCTAAGACAAAAAAAATAATTAAACAACTCTATTTCCTGTTTTTAATATAGCAATACAAAAGAAGTAAGGCCCCAGAGTGAAGATATACAACCAATTCCCAATTTATATGCCACCCTGAGTCTTTGGAGAGGGCGGCATATAAATTAAATTAATTAAATTAAATTAATTAAATTTACCTGAGGAACAATAATCATCTTAAGTGAGCCTACTTACTATTTTGGGGGTAAATGTACTGTGTTAAAGCCTATATTTTTCTTAGCTTTAACTTCCTTCTTTTAAGAATGTTTTAAAATTCTTAACAACATTTTTATCAGCCTGTTATATAGTTTTCTTTGTCTGTGAAACAACTTGTTTTTGAAAGAGTTGAAATTAGCCCAGGTCTAATGTCTCAAAAGAGGGGTGTGGTGGCTCAGTGGCTATGACACTGAGATTGCCAATCGTTTGAATGAACAAACCTTTATTAAACATCTTCAGAAACAATCATCAGAAACAGGTAATGCCAAAATTAGGACAAAAACTAGGGGGAAACAAGAGGGAAAACTGAAGAGTAGCAAAGAGATAAAAGGACAGAGGACTTAACATCAACGATTTATGTTGTTATATATTCATATGAGACGATATAGCTCAGTGGCTAAGACACTGAGCTTGTCAATCGAAAGGTCGACAGTTCATCGGTTCAAATCCCTTGTGCCGCATAACGGGTTGAGCTCCCGTTACTTATCCCTGCTTCTGCCATTGGAGAAGCTGGGACAAGTAAGCAGCTCGAAAGCACTTAAAAAATGCAAGTCAAAAAATAGGGACCACATTTGGTGGCAACAGTATTCTGTGCGCCTTTGGTGTTTAGTCATGCCAGCCACATGACCACGGAGACATCTTCGGACAGCGCTCCCAGCTGAGTTGGTGGCTCTTCGTCTTTGAAATGGAAATGAGCACCGCCCCCTATAGTCGGGAACGACTAGCACATATGTGCGAGGGGAACCTTTACCTAATGTCTCAAAGTTATATTTCAGCAAAGTGATTTATCAGATGACCTCCCGTTTTTCAATTAATGAAACGTGGAAAGGTGTGCTTTTTCTTGGTCTTGGCTTGTGTAAACCTGGAATAGCAGGTGATGATAGGAAATAAGAATTGAATGCATCTTCCCTCGTATGATGCTAAAGAAGCAAAAGATTTCAGGACTTTTCTGTTGTTGTCTTTTAGTATTCTAAGACATTGCCAGAATATTACTGATTATTTAAAAATTAAAATATGAAGAATAAATGGAATACAGAATGAAGACTCCTTTGGCCTTCTGCTGATCAAAAAATGTCAAAACAGTGCTGTATTTTCAAATGACAGGAGAAAACAACTCCCTACAAGAATTTCCTTCACCATCTTCATTGCAAACTCTTCCTGAAATTCTCCACCTGTGGAACATCATGCAGACCTCTCTCTTTGACCTGCTTTAATGCCATGTCATCTGCAATGTTGGAAAGGAAATATAATACAGCTGTTGCAGATCAAACCTGTCTTGGTGATTTGAAACAACCAGAGATTCCAGCCCATATGTTGTTGTTGTTTTTTATTAAAGAGTTTTACAAAAAGAGAAAAAAAAATTTTTTTACAAGTATTTCCCCATCCCCGTCCCTTCCTTACCCCCCCACCCCCCCGAACTTCCAAGAACAAAATACAGGGTATAACAATTAACAATCATATGCTAAACTAAGCTAATTAACTAAGGATTCCTATCCCTCCCTTCACACTTTAACTCCCCTTTTACTTAATTAAATATACATACACTTAATTTTTCTATTCATTCATAAGCTATTTGATATTTTTTAGTCCGACATTTGTTTTGAATATAATCAATCCATCTTCTCCATTTCGATATATTTCTTTCTTGTGAATGATCTTTCAAATATGCTGAAATCTTCGCCATTTCTGCCAGATTCGCTACTTTTAATGTCCATTCTTCAATAGTAGGCAAATCTTCCTTCTTACAATATTGCGCCACCAAAAGTCTAGCTGCAGTTATTAAATTTAAAATCAATTTAGTCTCTATAACCATACAATCTGTAATTATACCCAGCAAAAACTATTGTGGAGTAAACTTTATCTTCTTTTTAAGAATATTTTGGATAATCCACCATATTTTAATCCAAAATGCTTTAACTTTTTTACAAGTCCACCATATATGATAATAAGTGGCATTATCACAATCACATCTCCAACACTTAGATTGCAAATTCGGATACATACCAGCCAACTTTTTAGGATCTAAATGCCATCTATAGAACATTTTATAAAAATTTTCTCTTAAATTTTGTGCTTGCGTAAATTTTACATTGCTAACCTATATTTTTTCCCAAGTTTCCATCATTATTGGTTCCTGAATGTTTTGTGCCCATTTTATCATACAATCCTTAACTAATTCCGTTTCTGAATCTATTTCTATCAATATATTATATAATCCTTTTATATGCATTTGACCTTGGTCTTTAATTTGTTTTACCAAATTTTCCTTGTTTTGCATGATAACAGTTCTCTGATCTTCTTTCCATCTAGCTTGCAACTGACCATACTAAAACCAAGTTTGAATTATTCTTTCTTCTTTTAATGCATTTAAAGATTTTAACTGCAATACACCCCCTTCCATTTTAAGAAGCTCTTTATAGGTAATCACCTCTTGCTTTTGTTCTACACTTATATTCTCTATCACATGTCTGGGTATTGCCCATATAGATATCTTATCATTTAACTTATATTGATACTTTTTCCAAACTCGTAACAAGGCATTCCTTAATATATGGCTTTTAAAGGTCTTATCCACCTTTTTATCATATAATAAATAAGCATGCCAGCCATATAACAAATCATATCCTTCAATGTTCAATATTCTTTCTTCTGTTGAATTGATCCAATCACTAATTATTGTTAGGACAGCTGCTTCATAGTATAATCTTAGATTAGGCATTTTAAGACCTCCTCTTTCACGTATATCTTGCATTATTTTTAACTTTATTCTCGGTCTTTTCCCTGCTCAAACAAAATTATTAATGCCCTTCTGCCATTCCCTCAAATTTTTGTCTTTCTTGAGTATTGGTATCATTTGAAACAAAAATAGAAACCTAGGTAAAACATTCATTTTTATTGCTGCTATTCTTCCCAACAGAGGTAATTGTAGTTTTCCCCAATTCTCCATCTCTTTCTGTATTTTTTGCCATAACAATTCATAATTATTTTTATATAATTTTACATTTGAGGCTGTAATATATACCCCTAGATATTAAACCTTTTTTACTATTTCAAATCCTGTTAGTCTTTCTAGTTCTTCTTTTTGCTTTACCATCATGTTTTTAGTTATTATCTTTGTTTTTTTGTTTATTTATTTTAAATCCAGACATTTGTCCATATTGGCTAATTATATCCATTAAACCTGTAGCTGATTGTACTGGTTGAGTTAAAGTAACAACCAAGTTATCTGCAAATGATCTTAATCTATAATCATTATGTCTAATTTTAATTCCCTTTATTTTATTTGACCCTCGTATTTTATTCAATAAAGGTTCCAAAGTTAAAATAAACAATAATGGTGATAAAGGGCATCCCTGGCTTGTTCCTTTTTCAATTTTAAAAATTTCTGTTAAACCACCATTAATTATTATTTCTGCTGTTTGTCTCTGATATATTGCTCTAATAGATTGTGTAAAGTATTCTCCAAATTGCATCTTTTCTATTATTTTCAATAAAAATTGCCAATATATAAATTTGAAGTAAAATAAAAAAAATAAAATAAAAATTCAAATGCCTTCTCTGCATACAAAAAGATAAGCGCTGCAGGGACTTGATTGTTCCTTTCCAAATATTCCAATAAATTTACAATTTGTCTTACATTACATTTCATTTGTCTCCCACTTATAAATCCAGATTGGTCATTATGAATTATTTGTTGCATAATTACCATAACCTATTTGCTAATATTTTAGCAAAATCTTATAGTCAGTATTTAAAAGCGATATTGGCCTATAATTCTTAGGTTGACTATGGTCTTGATCCTCCTTTGGAATCAATGAAATAAAAGCTGTTCTCCAGGAGGGGATACATCTCCTCCGGCTTGAATCTTACAAAATAGTTCCTTAAGCGGTTCTACCATTTCTAACTGCAAATTTTTATAATAAACACTGTCAGTCCATCTGTGCCTGGAGCTTTACCCCCCTTTAACTGTTAAATTGCTAAAATAATTTCTTCGAAGTTATTGGTTGGTTCAGTCCTACCCTTTGCTCTGGTGTAATTACAGGGATATTCTCCTCCTGTAAATA